TTTAATTCATTTTGATTGAATCGTTGAGGAACTGATGACGTCTCCTCATAGTCACTGTTAGTTTTATTAGCATCAGAACAGCAATCAGAGGGAAAATATTCGTCATCAGAGATATCTAGTAGCTGATGAAATGTTGGAATCGGTATTTCATCTGAGTGCGGTATAGGGCGTATTGCCGAGTCTAAATTGGGGTAAGTCCACTTACTGCGGTTATTTCGATTGATTCCTTTAATATTTACTAAACAGAAACAATTATTGAAGTGGTTTTTTGGTTCTCTCCAAACCATTGGTACGCCGAGTTTTAGACACTTTCTTTTCCCGGTAGTCCACTGCCGTAAATGCTCTGTACAAATTTTACATACGAGATGCGGGCCCACTTTTTGTCCTGATCACCAAGGTTAACTCTAAAATATCCAAGATACGCTTGCTTTACAAAGTCAGTAATAGTTTGTCTGTTTTGTTGAAACATGTATTCTCCGCATATATAGCAAAACACATCCGGTTGATTTACACAACTTCTTCTTCTTGAACTGGAACCTGAACTCATTTTAATTCTGTTCAATAACACAAAAACACTTTTCTTAACATAAAATAACACGCCGAATTCGATCTACTCTCATTAGTAAGAACGCACAAACTGACGAGACTTACCCGAGTTAGAGGATTAAAAGGGTCAGTTCAGGTACCTGATAGGCAATGGTTCCACTATTTATAGATTTACTGGAATTTACTCAATTACAGACTGTCAATAAAACCATTGTACCTACATTAATGAATATATAATAATTTTAGAACTCTCATAAATGAATATACTGAATAAAAACCACATTGGTAGATAAGTTGATGTATCTAAAAAAGTAGAGCTGATAGAGAAAAACGGATTGCATGTACAGATTTAGCGTCCGAAATATAGTTAAAATCAGCTCTAAAATCCAAGGCACCAAAATATTTTTTGTTGCCCTGTGTTATCTAACCGTAGTTTTGAATTCTGATTAACCGTTCTTAAAACAATTTTCATTATTCTTAAAAATTAAAGTACTTTACTCTCCAATAAAATTCACATTTTTCAAAAAACTCGTACATGAAATTTTATGTATTAATAGTTCTGTTTTACGTTTTAGGTCATGCAGAACTTTTTAACAAAAATAACTTTTTTTCATAAAACTAATAAAAAAGTTGCCCATATGGTGCTAATTTAAGTAAATAAAAAAATTAAAAAAGTGCTTTGTGGTGAATTGATGTTTTAAAACACACATTTTCCATATATTTATTATGTTAAATTGTTTTTGTTTTGACAACTTAATCCTATGATTGACTGAGTTGATTTATAAAATTTTGATTTCTGATTTCTTGTACATTTGAATTTTTTTTTTTTTTTGGCCTAATTTTTGATTTTGAGCTTCGATATTCCATCCGCTTTAGTTAAGGATTACATAGAGGAGAATTAATTGTATTTCCTTATAGGTAGGTCCTATTTGTTGCGGGCTCTGCAAAAATAGGAAAAATTTACATCAGGTACTTGTTTAATAACAAAAAATGAATGTTGTTTTGTGCTGGAATGGATGTGGATATTTTAAAGTAGAAACGAAATACAATATTTTCCCTATTTAATCCTTTGCTGTGTTGCATGTTTTTAACAATTTTAACTGAATTCATATTACATTTATTGGTATTTTTAAATTTTATTAGTTATAAAATTAGGTACTTCACTATCTAATATTTAATTGATAACTTACTTTATAACTTATAGTGAAACATTATTACAATGAATGTAACAGGAATCCTGCTTTAATTATTTAACATTAAATTGATATTTTAAGTAGAACCTAATTTGGGATGATTTTAAAAAAATAACGAAAAGTAACTTCCGTTGAATAGTTTTGTTAACCTGATCTTACTAGAAACTTAATTAGTCAAGTCGATTAGAAAACAGTTGCTTATTTCATGATATTTCCTGTGTTTTGATGAAAATTATTATTTAGTCATTCTGCTTGTTTTAATACTCACACAGATCTTTAGTATTTGGTTACTGCAGTATATAATTTAAATTTTGCTTAATCTTTAATTGCGTTTCCTTTTCTGTATATCCTATGTAACATATAGGATAAAAAAATTACATTATGTGATATTAGTAAAACTTACATGCAGATTTGGTCATCATAAAAACTTTTAAAATAGTTTAACCTGTCTGCCATATCATTCAGAATCTGATACTTTTGATAGCTACCTTATAAATTCTACAAAATCAATGCCGGTTTTGAACTCAAAACTGTTCTTTTTGCACATGAACTACCTATTTAATCTTATCCTGGTATTGAAGACGAACGTTTTTCGAATCTCGAATGTCAACTCCAAATCTGAAGACATAATCAGGCATTATCATATACAGGGTGTTAAAAAAAAGGGTCACAAAATAAAACGGGGGGTAGTATGGGTCAAAATATGCAGAAAAGTCTTAATAAACATATGTCCGCAAATGAATGGTTTCAGAGATACGGAGTGTTTTGTATCATTTTTTGATTATCTTTTTTCATTCTCAAAAACTTGCTTTTCTTATCGGAGTCTACCGATGTTTTTTCATAGATACTATTTGCAGTTATTATTTTGTTGTGGGTGAATAATTTTATAAATTTTCGTTATGCCTGTTTACACTAATATTGAATTAGCTGACATGCATTTTATGTACGGTCGTGCAAATGGCAATGCGAGGGAAGCGCTACGTCAGTATTTGAATATCTCATTTAACTCTATGTTGTTATTGATTGTTTATAAATATCATTGTTTTTTTATAATAATAAAAAATTGTTATAAACACAAAATGGTCCGTATCTCCGAAACCGTTAATTTTCGGTCATATATTTATTAAGACTTTTCTGCTTATTTTGGGTCATACTATTCACCATTTCATTTTGTGACACTTTTTTTTAACACCCTGTATAGGGTGGTCCATTAATAATGGGACACAAAGCAACTATGAATTCCTTGTATAAAAATATTCTGATATAACACAAGTTACCTTAGAAATAAGGTTACTTTTTACGTCAAATATTTCTATCATAAATATTAAATGCTGTAGATATATTAGAAATTATAACATAGTTTCTAATATTACAAAATCATTCAATAAAATTTTTAGTTTTCGAAATATGTATAGCCAGTTTAATATTTTAATATGACGATTTTGAATTTAATCGTTAAACATTCAGATCTAGGATAGCCATGATCGTATTTGACATTTCAAAAAATCCGCAGCAAAATCGCCACATAAAAATATTAAATTGGCAATAAATATTTCGAAAAGTAAAAATTTTATTGAATAAATTTCTAATAAATCTACAGCTTTTAATATTTTTGATGGAAATATTTGATGCAAAACGTAACTCCTCTTATTTTATTAAATACCTATTTTAATATCATGAATTGAACTAATGTAAATTGTGTTATATCGTAATATTTTTATGCAAGGAATTCATAATTGCTCTGTGTCCCATTATTAACGGAGCACTCTGTATTTGTACTATCGAGACTATCGATAATCACATAGCTAATGCGTGAAGAATAAGTCTGAATAATAAGTGAAATTATTTGATACGCGTTGGGTACATTAACTTATGTTTTTATTCATAGTCCCGATATCAACAGTTATATTCAATAGATTATATTACGAATTAATAAAATATGACAGCTCAACAATTTTCTCACCTAAAACCTCCACCAATTTCACCGGGCCATTTTTTCTCTCAAGCGTTTTAAAGTATTGTGCGTGAGTGGGTATGGGCTTGTCTTATTTTCTTATGGCTGAATTTTGCTTTATTTTCGTTATTTTTTTTTGTTTTTTGAAAATTTGTCGCCTCCGCCCCCTCCTCCACCACCACCAATTTTGCTGGGCCATTTATCTCTCCCAACATTTTAAAATGGTCAGTGACTGGGCGTGAGAGTGACTTATCTTCAAAAATGGACGCTTCTACCAAATAAAGATTCAAATTACACCTTTTCTCTGAATTAATGTCTATTTTTCTAAATGGAATAAAATAATTACTCTGGATCTGTAGAGGTCGCTGAAAACGAATCTGTTGTCATTATTGCTAAATTACCAAAGAATAATAAACAAATACAATACTTTGGCAAAGTCAAAAAGGAATGAAATAATGTTATGTTGTCAAGATAACGTAAAATTGGATGAAAATCGATACTTCGAATGTTTTTGGTGTCGTTGAGATTTTTAATCAGAAAAAAAAATGATATCAAACTATTATAAATAATTTTAAGTTGTATAATGATCATATATTAAAAAAATTTAAATGACGTAGACGGCAAATATATTTCTTTTATTGTTGAATTTTGCTTTCCTCATCACATCACAAAAAATCAAAATGATCGATGGTGGTTTAACCATATCCCTCTGGTTTAAATATAACTAAACAGGTTCTATCAATTTGTAGTAATTGCGCCATTTTTTTGACAGCGTCATATTAAAATATTAACTCCATAACTACGTAATTATAATACCTATTGAAATACTATTGTTTTTTACAAAAAAAAAACCACTACAGGGGTAGAACGATTACTACTTTGTAATTCACTTACCTTTTTTTGATTTTAAAAAGATATTGCAAATTTCAATAAGATATTGCCTTAGAAGCAAGTTTTGTTTTCAGTTTCGCCCGAAACTAAGAAAGGAGCCGAAATTTAGTTTCTGTTTCGGTTATAAAACCTTGTTTTGGTCATACACTGATTTGCAGTCGTATCCCTCGTTCAAATTCTGTTTAGGCGGGGACAAAATTAATTAAACATTGAATTTGAGTGACGATTTTAGAAATAAAATTTGAAAGCATACATTTTCAATTTATTGATTTTAGTTTTTATTTCATTATTATTTTTGTTTATACTTTTAAAGCTTGTTTATGTTGCTAGTGTCTATTAATTTTGTTGTAAACAATTGGGTGTTCATAAAAAGTTACTTATTCTGCCACAAATGTATTTTTGTTTTTCTGTTATAGGCTTTGAAAAAGGACCTCGCACAATCTCGCGACGAAACTAAAGAAACTGCCATGGATAAGATCCACAGGGAAAATGTCCGTCAAGGAAGGGATAAGTACAAGACCCTTCGTGAAATCCGTAAGGGTAATACCAAGCGCCGAGTGGACCAGTTTGAAAATATGTAAATCCATTTTACCTGCAAATCAACGTTTCAGAGTCCTACTTTTTTGATAAAAAAAAATGTACTAATGAACCTTTAAATGCTCAACACGAGATAATGTTTCAAAATACTTTTTAAAAAATAAGTTTTAAGTTTCGGTTCAGTTTTACTTATGCGCTAAGTATTATCCATTCTTTTCCTTTTTTTAGATACACGAGCCCTTTTGGCTCTATTAAGTGGCCTTAGAATTTTATTACCTTTATTTGCTTTGTTAGATTATCGCTTTTTATATAATATATATTTAACAATGTTATACGAAATTGTTTTTTCCATTATGTTGTGATAAAAACGAATTTGGTCAATTGGAAGAAGATCGGGCCACGAATATGTAACAATGGCCCGAACTGAACTGATAGAAAAACAAAAATAAATTAACACTCCAGATCTGCAATATTTTTCTTATAAAAGGACGCATTCCAATTTATGAGTAGTTTTCTATGTTTTTTTTTTTAATAATAATGTTAGTGCCATTCGGTGATCAAGCTATGCTAAAAATAAAATTCCTAAAAATATCTGTCTCTATAAATAAAATTGTTAAATGTACAGTTTGTCCCAAACGTCAAATTTTTTTAAATCTTTGATCAATATTTTTTTTATGATACTAGTGTCATAGAATATTTTATCTGCGATCATATAAACAATTTTAAATTTATAGAACACATTTTTTTTTAGATTCTTGAAATTCTTGATTTTTCTCATTTATTTATTGGAACTTTAAATGAATCGATTCGTTACATTGAAAATAAATCGGCTAACTAATTTGAATCAATTATAAATATATTCATGCAACTTATATTGTGAAATAATGATAACCATATTTTAAAGACTCACAGTCGGTTGCAACAATGTTCATTGAAATTTATGGGTGTGACAAACTTTGAAAAAGCTTGAATGTGATCTGTCTAGATGACATGAACCTAATAGAATTATGGAATCATTAAACTATTGAGAGATTGAATGAAATGTATGATGCGTAGATTCATATATAATTTATAAACTATCTTAAGTGATCGTAGGTAAAAAATGTGTTTAAAAACAACATTTTTTTAAATTATTTAACGTTTAGGACGCTGAACGATTAACGTGGAACGTTCTCAAATCATTTTTGGCTAATATTTTACCGATCAGTAGGCTCTTGAATTGTCCCGATTTAATTTGCAATCTTTCTGAGTAATTTTAGGTTTTAAATTTATTTTTTATTGAGTCGGATACAATCAACGAGTTATTCACTTTAATGTTCAGATTATATATATTTTTACAATTCTTATTCTAGTGACTTGGCCTCTGGTGCTTCCTAAAAATGTAATCTTGTGTGTGACAATCTACATTTCGTTAATTTCTGTTTTCAAATAATGCAACCGAATTCCGAATATTTCTTAATTGTATTCAACAAATTGAAAAGTTTTGTGTAATGATGATGTACACCAATTAATTATCTGCCAAAAAGTCTCAATAAATATTTCTATTTTTTAGAACAATAAATATTTCTATTTTCCTAGAATTTATACCACTGAAAATAGCGCTTGTCCTATAAAGAGGGCTATGTGTTAATAGTAAATAGCTTTTCAAAAAGTGTCTCGTATTAAAATAAGCTTCATCATAACGTCAATTTGAGATTTATCGTCATTTTATGTCAAAAAGTCAATTTTTGCGACAAATATCACTCTTGTACTATTTTTCAATTAATATAAGTAAATAATAAACACTAGCTTATCTTTTTTGCTAGTTCAGTAGGTAATGAATAAATGATACATGTTTAACATTGTATTTAAACAGAACTCTTCAATTTTTCTGAACTGTTGCATTTTAGCTAAAAAATTCCATCCATAATCATCCATTCTTATTGTTTTGAAATTAAATTGTCTTATTGTAGATGTTGCACAATAACTACTTTGTGTAAATAACGGTTTTCATCATGTAATTGTTTTCGAAGTTGTAAAGTAAATGATTCTTGAAATTTTCGTCGAACATTGACGTTTGTTTGCAACTTTGCGAGTTGTGTATATAAAAAATTGTATACCACGTTGCCTTTTTGTAGATTAGATTATTTTGGATGATATTTTACACATTTAGTATTGTAAGTAATTGATAAACATTTGAGTTTCGGTTAAGGAAGTCCATTTTTCTACAAATGGTGAACAAAATAGTTTGTTAAAAAAAAAAATGGCCAGAAATGAAAACTTTTTATATTCATTGAATGGCTATATTTGGAATTTTATACACTTTTATAATTTTTCTATTGTTAACACCTTGTCAATTGTCAGCGACCATTTGTATATTATACTTAAAACTACTCTTGTAGTTGTCTAATATTTCTATTCTAAATAGTTCAACAGTTATGTATTTCTAAGGGTAAATAATAATAATTATTTGGAAATACTTGTTTTATTTAGTCTAAACCTTATCCGTTAGCTAATTATTATTAAAAGTTCACTAGTCTTGATATATTAAGGATGACGCAGAAAATTGAACAACTGAAAAAAACTTGAAGTATTTATATATTCTTTGTTTTGTAGTAGAAAGTAATATACAAAGTGGAAAGTTTAACTGGAACAAATTCTGCAACTTAATAAATAAAGGTCTGTTGCGAAAATTATTAATTTTTATTTTCCATAAGGCTTATTACAAAGAGGTTTCTTTGTCAGCCAGCCACCCCAACTGTTTTTTTTAATGTAATTGCAAATATAATTTAAACAATTTTTTTAAGTAAATTTTACTATCACTACCTTAATGTATTTATTTAGGTTAAAAAATTATCGGAATGCCTGTTTTATCGATTAGGGTATTGTTAATAACAAGGTAACCCGCCTTCGAAATTTCACCTTTACTATCAACAGCTGTTGTTTGACAGGTCTTTGGAGAATGTTTGCAATTTATGGAATTTTAGGAATGTTGACTTAGAAATAATTGAAATTCCTAAAAATGTAACATAAGAAATGCATATGCGGATTTTAAGAAAATTGATTATAAAGTAGTTTGGATGAACCGAAAATTCTGAAAATCAGTAGGGTTCTAAGTTAGAAGTATTTTTTCAAGAAAATCAAAACCGCAAGTCAATCAGAACTTTCGTTCTAGAGTTATTGTGCCGGTATACATACATACGACCAGACGATTTTTTTTTTTGCATTTTCCGACTCTGAGTGATCGGAAACATGAAAAACTTTTAAAAAATGGGGGTAAGAAAATTTTTTCGTCTGCACGAATGCAATACTGAGGCACCATAGGAAGGGCCTCAGTAATTTACCATATTAACGAAAAACGTATTAAAAACTAATATTTCTGACAACATGTATTTTAATTTAATTTTAGCTTAAAATACAATTTTTTTTTGTAACAGAAAAAAATCAGATAAATTCAAAAAACTGTATATTAAAATAAATTACGAAACCAAATAACAGCAAATTACATCGCCTTTTCGACTGATTACTGATTCGATACCCCTTAAGATAGTGTCATTTAATGTTTGGCAGTCATCTGCTGTAAAACTGTTACAAATTTCTTGAATACGGACACGATACATATTCTAACGGTATGCTCACTTTCGATTCAAAATTCGTCCAAACCGCGCACGATGTAATGCGGGACAAACTTTCAAGTTATTTTGACACTTTTCGATTGAATAGTGTAAAATAATTTAATAATTTATTTGTTTTTGTGTTATTTTCCTATATATAACAGGGAAGAACTAAATTAATGTTTCAAAAGCCAGTCTGTGCGGTGGAGATATTTCCGAATGCCACAAAATATGGGTAAATTCTTATCGAAGAAAGGACAAACTTAATTTAAGTTGCCCTATCCACTTTTAGTCGTGTCAAATTAGCATGAAAAAAGTGAAAATGGGCAACTTTTTGCGAAGAGGTCCGATTGAGATGCGGTTTTCTGCAAAATGTTCAGGAAACCGTTTATAACAAAAGGTATATCTGACCTCTGTACACTCGCAAATTCTTAATTGTTTATTTAACAAATGAGGCATTTTTGTTAAGAGTTGATGAATATGTGGAAAATGTCACACACAGTTCAACGAAAATGTCTGAAAAATGTTCTCTCGGAGCGCGCCTATTACACCGCTTCAACGATAACACCCAAGCAAGATTCAAATTCGTTGTTGCCAATAACGTCGCTTTAATCTGCGACGACAGTGTGAATCTCGGACATTATCTACCGTTAGATAAAGATGCAAACTAACGTTCCATTTTACCAATCGCTTGGAAGACGTTTGAACAGTTTCAAAATAAGACCAGTCAAATTATTTCAACAAAATGCTATCTGTTCTGGACACTGATCTATATTATTTTACTGGATAGGATATAGGCTATATTTAACATACTAAAAATCCGTTCCACCAAGGAGACCGGAAGTGCAACACTGCTGGCCGATTTGGGCAAATTATGGTGGGATCACCTAACTGAATTTTGGGATAATTTGACATACCTAACCTATGATTTGATTAGTTTTTCTTCTTATTCTTCTTCTATTCCTTCTGCGGGCAATGTCCTTTGGGACAATTCACACATAATTTGATTTTTGTATGAAAGAAAATATAAAAATGGTAACGTGAAGCATATTGTGTCTTCACGAATATAGTAATGCTATTCGATACTACCTAAATAAATAAAAAAAACATCTCATCGTAACTTGTTGACACAATTAAATGACAAATGTGATGACAAATGGAAATAGAGGTTATGTTAAATAACATCCGGTCCGCCATATTATTTGCCCAAATCGGCCAACGTTTTTTAGAGGCTATATCCTATCTAGTAAAATAATACAGGTTCTGGAGGTAAATAATAAACAAATGAATTAGTTATTCAAAAACAATATTGCGCCATAATTTTTCCTGACAATACTGCCTGGAGCGTGCTGCTTGTCTTTTGATTTATCGGTTAGGTCCGATTGACTCAGTCGGATCTCCCTTATCACCATTTTTATTTATTTATTCATTCCCTTATAGAGCTTGATTATATATTTTTCGGTTTTGAGTTAGTTTTTTTTTTTAATATTTTAAGTCCTCATAACCCACGAATTTATTCAGATTTTTTTAAGAATCAATAGGCTTCATCTTCTTGCAGAGGTTGATATTATTAAAAATTTTATGTTGATATCGCTTTTCGTTTTTAATTTACGATTTTGTTTTTTTTTTCAATTTCAACCACCTTTAACCCACCCTTTTTTTAAATCAATAGGCTTTATAGAGCTTGATTTTTGCGGACCAAAAACGAGACACCGGACGGACAAAGTAAACCTATAATACTCTTCACAGATTACTACGTGAAGAGTATTATAATAAGACGTACTTATTTATTACTGAAAAAGAAAAGACAATGTAAATTAAAATCAGGTAAAGTTATAATTTTTGTTGTTTTTCGGTTTTCTCAGGTATCGATACCAAAACAAAAAAAACGTTTTTACATTAAAGCTATTATTTTAATATTTGTAATCAATAATACGTAAATAAAACTAGAAAAAATGGTCCAAGTTTTTTTATTCATTTCTATTTTACATAAATATTTGATGAAGAACACCTAAGTTTAAAACTTAAAAATTATCATTAAAACCATTGTCCAATACCATAAGCACTACCGAGAAATCATTAAAAATAGATAAGTTACAAAAAATCTGAGATCTTAAAACAATGTTATATAAGAAATTTACAGAGTGTCCCATAAAACGTGGATTAAACGAAGTAAGGTAATGCAAGAGGTTATTTGCAATCGTAATAACCTTATTTTGTTATTTGATATTTTCAATGTTTACCTAAAACTGCTTAATGCCTGAACATGGAGTTCGTGAAAAAAAGTTTGTTAGCTAATTTCTATTTTTTTAATGACATTTACTTTAACGTCAAGTAAAATGTTTGGTACAACAAAAAATATTGGGCAAATCTGTTTGAGTCACAGCTTTTATAAAATGCGTTTAATAAAAAAGTATTAGATAAAAAACGCTTGAACTTGTATGTGTACAAGAATGGAAAATTTCAAATATGTTTAAATTCTCAACAATTAAATACCTTATTAGTTTTTTTTTGTAGCAAATGACCTCCCATGTTGTCTCACTTCATTTGATTCATGATTTATGGAACACCCTGTAGAAAAAAGTTAAGTACCTAACGAAAATCTGAGAGATACAGTACAACTCGTTGTATACTCAATGAAAATAACTTAATATGACTTAGAGAGTTTGTGAATTCAAAACATTTGGAAGCGACCGACAAAAATTTCCAATTTCATTAAAAAAATAAAAACATCTATTTATTTTAATTAATTTTAATTCTATCGGTTTTGCTAATAAAATTTTAGTTTCCAAAATTTAAGAGTTTGTAAAATAATTCAAACAAACAAAATGTCCGTTGTGAAAACAATTTTCAAAGAAGTGATTTTCTAATAAAATAATATTAGTAAAGTTATGTAAATGGAAATTAATTTTTCCTCGAAAACGTAAAGTTTTTATTTGTCATTGAAAATCAAGATTAAAATGCTTCAGAAAACAAAGTATCTTTTTATATTTATGCTAGTAATAAAATGTATTATTTGGCATAAACTAAACCTAATAATAGGAAACTTTGATACAATGAATAGGAAAAACAAATTATTAAATGTATTGTAAAATTTTGTTCTCCAATTAAACCATTGCGAGTTATTTATTTCAGTCTTATTTTTTAATATTTTAAATTACAGATGGTTCCGAACTAGCAAAAAATTTAAAAAATAAGATTCGTCATTTTTTAATTGAAATTCTGCACCAATAGAAAATTGATCTATTTTAGAATAATCACAACCAAATAAAAAATAAGTTTTGAAAAAAGTTTGAGGAGGTCGTGTTTTTTGTTTCAGTGCACTTCTCACTGAATTCATTATAATTCTTGCTAAGAAGCTAAAGATTTTTACCCGCAAAATAAGAAGTTGAATGAAGAAGTAAAAGAATGAGAGACTTGATTTGACGCAGAAAATATTTATGAAAAAATGAGAACAAGGCGATTTGAAATAATATTTTCCGTTTCTGTTAAAAATCATAATTAGTAATTTAGAAATTTCAAAACTTTCATAATTTTAGCAAAACCTACAAAATAAAAAATAACCCCTTCGAAACATTTTCAATTTTCACAATTAACCGCAATTTTCATAACAGTTTCCTTCTCATACAATTTTGCTGGTAGCAAAAAAAAAAACGTTAAGTAATATAAAAGTCATGTCTGCTGAATGCCCTAAGGAATTTACCTACAAATAGATTCAATTATATTCTAGAAAAAGTAATACTACAAACTAAAGACAAAAATAGGATCGATAAGCTGAACAGAAATCAAAATTTCCGTGAAAATTATGATTATTTCCAAATAAAAAAAAAAGATTCAT